CCAAGGACAGATTGAGCCAGTGATCATACGACTGGGATGATGTACTACAAACACTGCACGGTACTGTAGGGGAAGAACAGAGGAAGGTAGTTTGGGTGGTACTCATGATAGACAAGTAAGAAAATCGTTCAACACGTAACGTACCCTTTGTAACTGTCTGACCACCAAACAGCTTCCGAATTATGTTATGATTGGAAGAGGTGGGCGACTTCTCTAACTCTGCTATGTCAGCATTCCTTGCCATGAGGTTGAGAAGTGCCAGCAGATATTCGTGAGCATCTTCATGACGATTAAATTGTAGGGATTCACTCACCACTGCAAGGCAACAAACACCACCACAAAATTAACGCATCCATGCCTCAGTCTACTGTCCATCGTCAATCACACCAAACTCACTTGACACGGAATACACGAATTCCTCGTTTGCCCCCTTATCCATTATGTTTGCCAAATGATGCGCCCTGTAGAGGCGATGCAGTGCGCACAGTCCGCAAAATACTTGATGCCTAGTATTGGCACAGGAGTCAGGATTGCTGTGCTGTCGGTGTAAGTAGGAGAGCATCGGACCCGTTGCGAGAAGTATTTGCAGAACCGCATCGATAAAGCAGTTACTTCCATAATTCTGAAGGCCCATATTGAGCAGGGGAAGGGCCGAGTGTGGATTTCGCAATAATTCGATGGTTTTCGTATCGAGGTCGCTGAGGAAGGAATCTGCAGGAGAAGTACCACAGCGTGTAGCCCCAGAAGGAGTTGATAATGGGAAGAAGGAGGGTGTTTGGACTCACCGGATTTGTCGCGTGCAGAAGCCATGACTCGACACTGCTCACTTCAGAGTATTTGCTTTCGAATTCGTCTATAACTCAGTTGCTAGTGCTCATGTGTTTGAATATATAAAGTGTGTCAACCAATGAGGAGAAGGTGTCAGATCAGTCACAGTTACATGATCGGAGCTCACGACTGATATGAGTTCGAGAGGTCATTTCTTGTCTTCGCAGTGCCACGAAAATGACACCAGAGATCAGTGTTCCAATGTTAAAGTGGTTGTGAGCGGACCTCAAAGACCGAGGCATCGAGAGGTGGAGGGTGAAACACGACTGTAGGCATGATGGCAATGATTTTTTGCCAAAAAGCATCCCCCAGTCTGCTTTTGAAATGGTGGAATGCGAATTCCGAAATTGACTAAATGGAATAGTGTATAGACGAATGCCCTGAAGTGTATTAGTTTAGCCTGATGTCAAAGTGGATGTATCAGTGCACAGCCTTCTCTCAACGGAGTCAATTGGCTTTCCAGACCCTGCCTGTCTGCATTTTGGGACCGATTTCAAAGGTAGCCCTTTAGGTAATTGCTTGGTAGTGAGTGTCTTCCGAATCTGTAGACAATTATTTATTTATCGACGTAGCTGGCATTGGGCAGCCCGAAGAGGCTTCGACCTCTGATGTGTAGCTGTGTGAGTGAAGGGAATGGAGACGCACAGTGCATGCTGCCACGTCACCAAGTTAGTGATACATCGGTGTTGACTAGCTGACAGCTTGTAGTCCTCGAGGACGAGTTGTCGAATTACTTACTTCGTGCTCTTTCAGCATTGTCGAGGGAGGCAATTTACGACGTTTTCTAATGTGTCACATGAATAGCAATACCTTGATGCCTTCTTCACACAGATTTCTCATTTATTTTTGTCCCTGACAAGTCAGTTACTCTATGCGCTTCTACAATATCACTTCCTCCTTATCCAAATTTTGGTTTCTTACGCCATCGCCATGTCTATTTCGTTTACTTTTCTTATTCTCTCGCGCCAATGAATTGCTGCATTTGGAGTTTTCCTACACAGGCATTTGTATTGCGACCTGAATTTAATTTGAAAGAGAGCAACTTTAAAAACTATGGAGAGCCCTTAATTTTATATTTTTCCTCACAATCTCACATTCCTTTCCTTCTATGCTCTATTTGAGGCCACTTTAAACTTGATATTTTGAAAGTTTGACATTGGTGGAGGTGAAGGGGAATCCCCACCACCTATGGATTAGAATTGCCAGCATAAATTCTAAAGGTTGGTTTCAAGCCCATGTAGTATTTACATACTGTTTCTACGGCCCTTGTCTCCTCCACGCTTTATTGATCATATCAATTTGACAACTGCTCCGTTTGATCACTTCCCACTCCTGTCAGTCGTGCAAAACTACTGGCGGCTGGTTGAGTACTGCCCGATCACATGGGGATCACTACTGCGTGGCACATGAGCCATCAAATATTCATTCAAGTTACCACCATAATTATAAGCTAGACCAGTTGACATACAAAGTACTGGTTGAGCAGATGTGGTGGTTGGCTGCAGGCGCAAGTGAACTCAGTGGACAACACACTTTACTGATGTGTCTTTAGCTCTTGTCATTGGGCTATATGGGAGCTATTTCACACGTATACAAAGAAATTGAATGTAAAACTCTGCAAAGTCAGATGATTAGCACGTTTACTGTTCCTAAAATGGTTAGAAAAGGCGCTGTGTGCACTACGATGCATTCCCCTTGATCAGGCACAGCTTAGGCTAGTTGTAGAGCCCTAACCAGTAGTGGTAGTTGTAGCGACTCTGCACTAAGAGATTTTAAATTAAAATCTTACATGCTCGTATACGTTCTCGTGCTCATTTTCCTTGTGTTCTGCAGCATTCGAATCATTGCTCATGCAATCTTCCAATGTCTCTAGCAGTTGTCGAGGCAACGATCACTCTTCAGGATACTTCATCAAGACACCCAATGGCTTGCTGTCGAGCATTCATGATTAAAAAACAGGCACTGTGAATGACCTGCAACTTTCCTATCCTCAATGATTTAATATCGAAGACATTCAAAATGTCTTATCAGGTTGGGATTTGGTCAAATTGTATCCCCCTTGTCATTATGGCAACTAGTCTTACCCAAACAGTTCGTCGACTCTCAGAGGACACCATAACAATAACAACCCAATCTGCTCCACATTTCTTTGCTAAATCACCAATTTTTAAATCTACGTTCACTTCAGATTAGTTAGAGATGAACAAACGTTTGTTTGAATATGCCGCCTCACTTCGGCACTTGCCTAATGGCAATGACACTCGACAATATGGTGACCCACCGTCTCTAGTCTGCAGGTTTTTTGACGTCAGAGAGCCACGAGTGTGCCGATTGTTGCTGTGATGCTCTAGTAATTCAATGCCTACAAGTAAAGTGGTGCATGCATTAGAATGCCTCCTTTTAAGTGTTCCTGGACTACCAATTACAGGCTGTGTCGTAGCGGTTTGAGCTATGAGTGATGTGGAAGAGCGCAAATTGAAATTATTTTGAAGTGGAACCTATGCTGGTATGCATTATACAGTTGCATCGTTACAAATGGATAAAATGATAATTTAATCTAAATGTGCTCTGACCGGGATCCCTTTTTATTCACACGTGTACAGGTACAAGTAATCCATCGATGCCATATGCAGCACACCTAGGGGGGAATTACCCATGACGGCTTTGCTGCTAAGAGTGAACCATTTGTGGCTGCGACTGACCTGCATGTGTCAACACGAAAATATAGGAGATGCAATTAAACTTCAGATACAACGAGGACTAGACGGGTGGTTGGATGACCGCCCTGTACCCAAGAAACAGGGGAAGAACTCATACTTCCAACAATGCCTTCAAAAAGATATCTGCTTTAGGCTGGGGAAAAGGAGATATCCCTGTCTCTGTATCCCCTTGACAGAATACCTACAGATGATGATTGTCACCTCTTCGTGGCATTAACCACTTACATGCGCTGTAGCCTATTGGAATTGACGCTGATGTAGGACTAGTCTTATTACATGTGGAGATAAGGAATGTGACGAAAGTGGGGTTCACACCGTGTTACCTATTTGAGAAAACTTTGTGAATCTAATTTCATGACCTTACATATTCTGTCCACAAAGGAGTAAAGAGGCCTTCATTTTGCGAAGACCTGTTCTAACGAGGACCAAATCCGATTAACTGCATCAGCATTTATTCTTCTACGTCATTTATTTGCCCAATCCGTGGAATGAAGTACTTGCCTAATTAGATGACTCTCAAACCTTTGCATAATCGATAGACGAGGAAAGGAAGGAGTTTTATACGCCCTTCCAGTCCAGCTCTACCAGTTTCTAATGTAAACAGTCTGGTATTTAAAGTGCCTTGACTTGTCAGCGGACTTGAGACACCCTCACGTAGACAACTTAAAAACAGATTTTATTAACTCTTAAAAGATTAATCTAGACACCACAATTGAATAGATTCACCCTGTTTTTCTTTACTGAATCTGGTGCGAGTAGAGCCCTTAAAGTCTTCATTCACAAGCACGTGCGCCAATTCCGAACCCCTCTTGTACCATAATTGCGTGGTCCATACTGGATTGTGCGCCTGACTTCACAGGCTCATCAGCCAAAGCTGGGAGTAAAATTTAATGCTAGTGGACTGTCATATGGCTTCAGAGAGGATATGAAGGGCTGCATCGACGGCAGAAGTAGGCGACCAGTGGTAAAAGCATTATGGGCAAGTATTTCAACCGCCCGATACTTGGATGTAGCATTTATTTTCCCGCCTTTATTAATTATGCTTTGCATTTAGTGGGTCCATTCGTGGGAGTGGCAAGTGAGGGAGGTAGGCACGCTCAGACAGATGTATACCTCAGCAGTCGTTCCAACTGAAGAAAGTTCCATCTGCTTATTAGCGCTCTTCTTGGACATGCAGTCGAAATTTGACCTCATAAACCCACTGCGCGAAATTGGGCATTGGGGCCAACTGATGGAATTCGCGAGAAGTGAACTTCCACTCCACGCCTGTGGGTAACGTAGTGTATAAAAGGACCGTTCCATAAATGCTATTTAGCACCCTGAGTCTTCCTTGAAGTCGGAAGAGGACATAATACTGGGGGAGAATATATATTGTCAGCGTGGAGAAGGGCTAGGGCCAGGGGGCTACCAGCATGACTCGGAGGCCATGCCACCCAGCGAAGTACGGAGGGGTGGGAGGCCTAAGTGCCCGCAAAATCTGAACGAAGAGTTAAACAAGCAATGGAAGAATTACAGGCATGCGTTCATTTGGAGCAGCTTTTGTTAAGCGACTTCATGGTGGTCCTAGCTCTTACTGACTGTCGAATTAAACAGTAATGAATATTATTAAAAAGTAAGACGATTCTCTTAGTTTCAATCGAAACAGTATTTAATTTTTGACAAGAAGACGCATTTTAGAATGAGACCAAAGTTATGCAGAATGAGTGCATTTGTAGTCACTTGATATTATGTGTGGCTGCTTGCCTAACAACCAAACCGACACCGCAGCCTCTACGGGTTGCATTTCAGCCCTACGGCATGGATTTCGGGACATACAAATACCCTCCCGACAATTCCGCACGTTAATAATGCATGAACTGCATACTATTTTGGCTTATTTCACTTTAGTGGAAAACTTCGAGGGTCACACCATCCTCCAGACACAAAAATAGCTGTTGAAATGTACAAACACGGAATAGATGGAGAAAATTTTGGTGCTACGAGAAAAGCCACCTCACCTTAGAATGCTAATTATGAATACGCAGATATAAGCATGATCCATTGTGCTCAAGGGGTATCGTCTTCTTTTGTAAAATTACCTTTAGAAAGTAAACTTAATAATCCTTCAAAACGGCTGAAAAATTGAAACTGAGTACATTGCAAGTCTGAGTGGCATAAATCCATCTGAATAAGACGTTTATTGCTATCATTGAGTCGGTTTCTAAAGGAGACCAAATACACAACTGGAGACAATTTTTACAAGACCGCATGAATTTCTTGAAACACTTTCTTACCATCTTCAATGTCATTAACAAAAGTGATCTTGGATTTATGAGCAGCAAAGTCACTGGTGTGTCCGGTAATCTGCGATAGGGCATCCGCCTCAAGTTTGCAGATGCTTTCCCATTAAATGTGGATAGGGTCAGAGCTTAGCCTTTTTAAACTGCTGGTGATTGGGTGTTACATCAGACTAAGAGAAGACAAGATCTGTCCGCAGTTGATTGCAACGCTAAATGAGATTTCAAAATTTTATTGTAAAACTAGTGCCTCTAATCGGACAGTAAATGCCTGACATTCTAATTTTAAGGCTCGCTTGATAGCATGTTTATTTTGTACTCTGGTGTCAAAGCATTTTGTGCTTTTTTAAACTTCAAATGCCAGTTGTGTTTGTTTGAATTCTCCACTACCCCCTTTATTCTTGCGCGCCTTTCCATTTGTGTCCTGATCGATATGGCTGATCTACACAAGTTCATAAGACAGCAATTCTCAGACAATAATTGGTCTAAACAATGTGACCTCTCAAAAATCCCGGTAACGAAGTTGAGGGAGATAGCTGAAGCTTTCAACCAGCTGGATGTTAAGTCGAAGTTAACACTTACCTTCACGTATACCAATTCTGTCATCCCTTCAGATCCTGAGGTAAGGCCATGACGTCATTACAACTTAATGATATAATGTGCTCAATAATCTTTACTTTTGCAAGGTTTATTTCTCTGCCGATTTTCTGTATTGCAATTCGATTTTACCATTTTAAACAAGGCTGTCTAATACTCCTATTTTTTATGTTTTCATGTCAAATAAAGCCCTATTTTTGGTCATATATGTGTTACTATGCAATTTATTTGTGAAAATTGCGTTACTGCAAATTCAGCTTTACATATGCTAATCTTAGTCTTGGGTCGACCTTAGCGTTTGCTATTTGATTAGTCATTTTGCCGGCATTTCTACATTTGCTCGATTATCTTTTTGTGTCCATGCTCATTAGATTGCTGAACTTGTCGACAGTGTGGTTCTGCAGGCGTTAGTCGAGGACAACAACTTCGTGCGATGTGTTGCAACTGCGCTTCATAGTCGTCAGTCTCTCAACCACCTTATATTTGACCTTTCCGATACTAGCGAATCGTTCGCTAAGACCCTTAAAGATCTCGAAGACTGCTCAACAGATGGACACATCTCCTCTAAAATTCCTCCTCTAGCGGAATTGCTTGACGCACGCATCACGGATGATGCACTGGGTCTTTCCTTTTCCTCCTCCTCATCGCTACCTAAAGATCTCAGAAGCAACTGCCTAAACTCTTTTTGCGGCTTTACAATTCGCGAAAAGACACCGGCTCAGCAAATGAAGGAGTCTTACCTTGATCGCCTACAGGAAGAGTGTGAGCGTCGTCGTGTTCATGTGCCCATCCCTGGTCGCAGTTTCGGCAAACAGGATGGCGGAGAGGACGTTTCTCAAGACAGTGTCAGTCATCACCTACATTCGCTCCGCTCGGAATCTCCCCTGGGCTGTCGCCGCGCTCCTAGTTTTCCTCGACGTTCTTCTGCTGTTCGAAAGACAGATATGAATGACGGCCAAGTTTCAGCCCCCATCAGTTCTGTCAACACTGGGCCTTCTGCAGCATCCACGAATTCTAACACTAGTGCCCGAGCTAAGTTGTTGGCGATGCACAATCGAAGTCCAGCAGCCGTGTCAGCGACATCAGCAGTAGGATGGAATGGCAACAGTAGTTCCAGCAGTGGGGCCAGTGGAAATACTTCACGACGAATGATGCTTCTCTCCTCTTCAACAACCTCAGAGCCTGGTGAACGAGCTTCCCTCCGACATCTGAATGCCTCGGGTGCTTCAGTGGCTGGCGGCAAACGATCAAGTGGAATAAAATTGCTAGACTTTCAGGACTTACCCGCTATTGGGCTTCAGGCAAAGAAATTGCGGAAAGGTGTGTTTTCGGTTTATGAGTCACGTGTGGGTCTCGTAGATTTTAATGTAGTTTTCGAGGCAGTGGAACGTCATTTCGGCCTTGGTGATAACCCTGCAGTAACAAGCGCTCTCCGTTTATGTACTGCTCCTAGACTCGATACTTAAGCTATCTTGGAGGTCATCCATAAGAAAAGTTTCCTTACAGCGGTGATTGATACCAAAACAGCAGGCATTAACAAAAATAAGAGTGAACAGCATGATTGTAGTCAATGAGAATCAGTGCTTGGTGGATTGCCATGAAACCACACAGTTTAGTTGACCTTTTTAGTGATAGTCGTGGGGATTGTACTTTTTTACAAGAGAAGGCACTAGCATTGGTAAATTGGTTTCCTTACTGATATTTATCATTACTAGATAAGGAAAGGTCTCGTTCAGTGCCTATTCATGGTGTTAGAATTTGCGCAGTCCTTATTATTTTTGTATTTATCAAGGATGGAGAAGTAGTTTCACAAATACTTAACCCGGGCGAAGTCGCTTTAGAGGTGCATAAAATGGCTAACAGTGAAGAGCCTTATCGCAGCAGATCGGTGCAAAAGTGGTTATAGTTGTATATTTTGTACGAACATAATTTACTACGAATTTGGGTCTTGTTCCTCGCATTCGCAGTTGTTAGACTTGCATTTTCTGTCGTGGTGGTGTATAAGTGCCTTAAAACAGTTTGCACAGTCGCTGTAATGGTAGCAGTAGATCTAGCAAATTTCGACAAGATTATCTTTTCCTGTTTGTTTGAAGTGCCTGATGAGATCTGGAAATGAGAGCTACATGAGGTCTCACGATCGTGGTGTTTGCACATGGATTTCACTTTGCAACAATTTTTCCTACAAGCAAATTTCATATTAGTGGTTTGGTTAATGTTCGGGAGATTTTGTGTATTTCATCCTTCACACGTTACCTCTTCATTCGTTTCCTATCGTGCCACTGTGTATCCTTATGTCTCAGTAAATTCACTAGCTTGTGGTGTTGAGGGACAGTAGGTGTGAGTATTTTGGTTTCGGTCTTTGTTTCGGTGGAACCTTGTGGATTTTTCTTAAGAAGATTTCAAGACAGATAAGGACCTAGCTTTGTTGTTAAATGGGTTAATTACTAAAAATATGTTTTGCCTTACGTCTACGGTTTTGGCCCCTGGAAACTTAGTTTTTCTGCCAGATTCAGATTAGTGGTTATTTGATCCACCCAAAGTACCATTGCATCACGGTACAGGAAGCCTTGATTGCTGATGTCATTGGTGTTGCCTCATGTTTCACCGATCCTTTAATGACGTTAACTACATTTCTCTTCACCGTTGCCTTAATGATAATACTGGGTAGTATGAAAAGAAATGTGGACATCTTGCTTTGAGATCCCTAACAATGCGGAAGGAATCGAGTCTAAGAGCAGAGGTGGCACGACTGAAATACTGGCTTCTGCTCTAAAGTTATTAATGCGGTGGGCTAAGTAGTCATGTGTCTGGTTACAATTATCTTTCAGAACAACAAGAGAAGGAGCGTGAAGAGAAGCGAAAGGAACGAGAGCAGAAAGCGCAGGAGCGTCGTGAAGCGCGCGACGCCGCTCGCCGCGCGAAGATGCTTGCTCATGCTGCTGCTTCTGCTGCTGCTGCCGGGGGCAAGAAGACGGGTGTGGCTTTACTGTCTCCGCCCTCTCATCCCATTCAAACACCCGTTGTCTCCCAAGCACTGCCGCTGTTGCAGCCGATGCCACAGCAACCACCCCGGCTCCAGCCAGGTCTCGGGCCTGTCGCGGCGACTGCGAAACCTATAGGCTGGGATATGCAACAACCCTGGACTCCGTTTGGTGTTGGACCGACGCGTAACCACCACCGTGTTCGACAACCCAATCGACAAGGGGGATCCGATCAGAATGGGGGGGATGAGGTGGTGGACGATGATGATGAGGATTATGAGGATGATGATGAGGAGGAATGTGAAGCTGTTGTTGGTGCTGATGGCGCGTTTCACTTGACTGCTCCCCGGGGCTTTCGGTGAGCTTTCGATTATTAAGCTATTTCTTACTTATCATCAGTGATTTGTAGCGTCTGAGTTCGGGAGTAACTTTAGTGTGGCTGTTAATACAGAGGTGGTGTGGGCAATGGCTCGCTATTTAGTGTCTGAATGACGTGAAACACAAAGGACTAGCATATCAACTATAGGATTGAAACAAGTAATTCTACATCTGCTTCAACTTTTAATTTTACTAGCTTACTCGTTGTAATATCTACTACAGGTTCTTCTTGTTATCTAAGAACAGTTTTACTCATCATTCATGGCATAATTTGTTTGGTCCTGTTCACCTCGTTTTTGGAATATCATAGTCGAAAAAAAATTATTCTGTACGAGGTATTCCTTTTAGAACCCAATCCATTTCGCTTTGCTAATTCTTATCAGTTGAATACTTTCAGACAAAGTACTGTGAGCTCAAATGCTGCGTTGGTCTCCTCCATTCATAATGTCCCCTGCATCGGTTGTCGAGGGATAATAGAGATTCCTTGTCTTCCTTAAGATACTATCTAAGTCGAGCCTGGACTAGATGTTTTTTGAATTATTGTTACGTCTCTAGTTAACGCGTTGGTTAGGTGCTTATAATCCTATCGCTCTGCTATGGCAGCAATCACAGTGCCGTCTTGTTAACGCAACCCTTTTTCATGGTTTTGTATCAATGATGGAAGTGGTTTTGCAAGTATAAAAAAAAACTTTTAACGATAGGAATGACTTCTACAAAAGTCTCTAGGTCCTACAATAAATATAATCATACAGATTTTATTTCTGTTACAGCTCACAGTGACTAATTCACTTCCAGTACCACAGTAAAAGCTTATTTTCGAATCCAATAAGCATGAATCCGCGTAGTTTAGGCTTTTAAATACTATAAATGCCGTTTCAGAAGTAGGTTACATGTTGAGTAAAACCACTTTATCTTCCTCTGTAGGGGTTTCACTGAGGCCATTCCGCAGAACTCAGTATCCTTGCGGTCTCAACAGAGCGTGACACCCACCGCCACCATCCTGCTTCAACGCTCCACCCAGGGCGACCACTTTGCTCCCCATCTCATAACCACGGGTCAGCAGGCGGCAGCTCAAGGGGGCGTGTTCCAGGCTGTGCCTGGGGGCCCACGGTTCCGCTTCGTGAGACCGTGGGCACCGCCGTCGCAAGGTCAAGCCCCGCAGAAGGCCGCTGCCGGTGTAGAAGGGGTCACTGCCACAGCTTCCACGCAGCTCGTCCAATTGCCGGATGGTCGAATCGCGCTGGCCACCACCGCACCACATCAAATTTCTCAACAGCAGCAACAGCAACCACAGCCGCAACAGCAGCAAACTGTAATAATCGCGAATCCTGGCACTGTAAGTGTGAGTGATTGTGCTTTTCTGAATTTAAGTACTTTCTTAAGAAACAGGCTTTTTGTTTGTATGATAGGCTTTATCCACACCAAGCGTCGCGTGCTTGCGCAGAATAAGTTCTTGACTGCCTAAGTGGTAAAGCTCTAACCTCCAGAGACACCCTTAATTTGACGTTGAGTTGTGTTGGTTTGCATTGCTTTATGCATGGCGAATCAGAAAGTCTCGTGACTTTATCCTCAATTGGTAGACTACTTAAAAGTTCAACTTTATTTGTATTCAAAACTTCTACCACGATTAATCTAATTTGAGTTACTCTGTCTTACCCCTATTTGGCACTAAAACTAAATTCTCAAAGCAATGGAGAAGGCATCTCTAAATACCTAGAGCAAGCTTTTTTTTATGCAAGGCAGAATTAATGAGTTTTCCATGTCATTTCTAGTTTTGGTGCCGTTAGCTGGTGCTTTCCATCTGGTTATTCTGGGCATACTGTTCGAACTTCGTGTTGTACCATCCATCTTTGATGCTTGAAACTAATTTATACCCATGTTATGCGACACTAACCAGGTTTTATTTTCCTCTCGAAAGTAACAATTGTTTCTAATTAGTTGTAGGTTTGTGTTAAAGAACTATTGAATGCTCACTTTTTGTGATGAAGTTATAGAACCGGTAGTGGCAGTTATCCCCCTCTCCATATTTGCCTGTCTGCTACTTTATTTTTTCATTGGAAAGTCATCTTCATTGATTTTAACTTACAATTTGGTTTTATGCCAATTAAATTTTTTTTTGGTTTAGTTTTTTTTTCAAATGTGAAAAGCAGCAAGTAAACAAATAGGGTTATCTCAGTAACACAGATTCCTACGGTGATTTTAGAAACCGGGACTCCGCGTGTTGTCTCCTTCCTCTCTTATGCATGAACTTTTTTACTTGGCTTGACGTCCTAAATTTTTTCAATCTTTTAGCCTGTCAGGTGTTCCAGTATGCCGTGGTCCCAGTGTCAGTCTTCCTAAATTTATATCAAATTCCCTCTGCGTGGGATCTCAGAATAATCAAGTATATAAGTAGAGAATGTTTCCAGTTAAAAAGCATTGCAAAAAATACGGATATGATGCCTGATATAGGAGTTGTTGATAGCCATACCATCTGATTAGGCTTAAACAGTAAGTATGGTTCTGTTCCACTGGCTGAAATTACCTTGGCTAAAACTTTGGTCAGGACTTTGCATCTGCTTTAAAGCGCGCAGAATCTGACGTAATTGAAGAACGAGTGATGAGGACAGGGTGTGAGTGGATCCAGTGCTTTAATGTTTCCCGTGAGAAATTTTTTTTTCGTATGACTGATGTTGCTTCCCAGAGTCCTCCCTTCTAGTGCAATGTACAAGTCTGTGTAGAACTTTGTTGCATGAATTAGTAGCAGAAATGACATGGATGGAGCATCGCTTCACTAGGGTGGTAGCCGTAATCTACCCGGAATGAAAAGTCTGTGCAGGTAAGGGCAGAATTAAAACAAATGTAGTTCGTTTATTGCAATCCTCTTTTCTGAGCATCGTAGTGTTCTCTGTGGTTAGTCTTCTGCGTTGACTGTCACAAAGTGGTCTGTGCTTCACAAACGGCATCTAACTGGGCGAGATGAAACTTGGGTTAAATATTTTAATGCTTTTTGCGGATTTCGGTGGATCTAGAATAACATTCTCTTTGTGAAAACGCTATGGAAATTGCCAGACTTTGTAGTGTCCAATGTGGGTCGATTCCCTACGATGACCGTCCTAGGACCTTTAGGTAGGGGAAGTATCACTCTCTCACCATCGTTTTAGATTTCTTCAAGTCTAGTTTTAATTGCCTTATTGTGTTGACTTAAGTACTAATCTTTTCCTGCGACGTTCAGGTTTGGTGTCCAGTCAGTGAAACCAGGAGGGTTTGTTTACTCGATTTAAGTTTGACTTCCGCTCTTTGTGTGCGTCTGGGTAGAATTTCATCTGTACAGAAATGCTGGTAGGTTGTTAACGTGAATGAAATTGAGAGTTGTGATTTCAAGTCATTTTACACTGATAATAGTGATGGCTGTTATTATGAAACCTCAATCGTTGCCTTTCTGCATCCTCTTGCAGCGTCTCCAAATGGCAGCAACTCCCACCACCCAGATTCCCACCTCTATACCCACTTCCACTCTTCAGGCAGCAACTGGCTCTCCCCAACAGGTTCTTATTCGCAGTCCTGCGCTGGTCTCCACAGCTCCGCCACATCATCATCAGCAGCAGGCTACCGTTATGGTCAATTCCTCCCTTCCACAAGCCACCCTTCAAGTTTCCATGGGACAGACTGTTCCCCTCGTTGCTGCCCCTCGTCTTCAGCCTCGGGTATGTCCTTATTTGTGCTAGGATTTGTTCCTGTAGAGGAGAATGTTTACTGAATTTATAGAGTAGTTGCATCCATAAAAGATTTTATATCGAGTGGTGTAGTTAATTCAGCTTCTCAATGTATTTCCACAGCTAAGTGCTGATTTGTGGATTTCTGGGAGTGACTCACTAAGGTACCATTGAAGACTTAATCGTATACCATCGATAGAGATGCGAATCCAGATGTTGGTTACCTCATGCTTAAAATGAGTTAATCCAGTCGAAATTGAAATATCTTTATATATTTTGCGAAGTAAATAGTCAGTAGCATTACTAGTCCATTAAAATGTGAATCAAGTCGCGCTCCTTTTCTACTTACAGGAACTAGGGATAGTGGGTAAATCAAAGCATCTACATCCTCACAACTCGCAGACATTCCATGTACGTAATGCATGGGGAGGAACGCCGTGTTTCCTCCTCTTACAGTTGTAGATATTTCCACCTCTTTGGACACCACCGCCACAATTGATCGTTGTTTTTTGAAGGGTAACCATCACTTTTGTCTCTGTCACCAATGCTCTGTGTTATTGGGTATCTCGTAATGACTACCCGATTATTAGAACTGGAATATTTAAAGCCAACTGACTTCGCGCTATTGCCGTCAAAAAGAGAAAAAAAATTAAATAGCGCTTGATATTTTGACCAGTTGAGACCCCTTAGTAATTGCGTTTCTATTTGTTCAAATAAAATAAACATGAGTTTTTTTTCGCTACTGGCGGTAGCGACAGTTGCACAACACCACCGTCATCTTGACCTAGTTGTAGAAATTAATAATCGGAATCATTCTCAGCCAATAGGGTTACAAATCTGTTCAAATTGAGATTAAACACCCTTCACTTCCTCAAACGTTTTACACTTTTGAACAGATAGGCATTAACTGCGGATAGCTTTTGGATCACCAACTTCTCTGCCAAAAAAAAACTAAAAACTGTTATTTTAAACAGAATTAACGCTCGAATTTTCCCCTCTTTTTTTAGCTGATACAGATCCGTCCACGAACGCCAGTTGTAGTTACAACCGCGTCTACAGTCACCTCGGTGGCGCCTTCAACGGCTGCCGCACCGGGCACAATCCCGGTGATTCTGCCATCTTTGAGCAGCAGTACAGCCAACATCACCTCCAGTAGTGCTGGCTTCCAGCAACGGCCGCGTTTCGTTGTTGCCAATTCTCTCCGTCAGGTAGCTCCCACGTCAGCTGTTCACAACCCACCCCAACAACAAACAGTGAGTGGACTATCTTCTCCGCTCGGGTTACACAATTAAAGCCATTGTCTCTAAATCCAGGATAAATAACAATTTAGGATGCCAATTAATTCACATGAACAGGTGTTTGCTAATGTAATGCGCGTTCGTTTGACTTGTCATTCACGTGTACCTTTTTTCCTTGATAAAACGGTTGCTGTCATTCAGCGTAGAGTGCACTGCCGACTCTGTTTCGTAGGTGGCGTGAAACCTTGCTACTTTGGGTCGACATGAACAGGCATGATGTTAGCATATTTGGTCTCTAGTCAAAGGCTTTTTTGTTTACCAATTTTAACGACCTAATTGGTATCTCTATCAAAATGGAAGATGCTTGCACTTGTTCGTACATGGGTTCGGGCACGGGCCATGTGTGTTCTACCTGTACATCCTGGTTTCTCTTCCCCTCCTCTCCATTTTGGTCAGGCGATGGACGTTGTTATCGCTGCGAGAGCTGTTTTGTGTGGATGGGAGGTGCTGAGAACCGTTAAATCAGCATTGTGTCGTCTCCTGTTTTCCCCGATAATGTCAGATGGGTCAGAGCTTTGGATATCTTCAAAAGTATATTTACATCTTATTTTTTCGATCTGATAATGGTTGAGCTGTCGTTTGGACTATTAAACAAAAATTTGGATCTCAGTGAAGTTTTTTAGGTGTGGTCCATAGACCGTTATCAGGGTAAACGGTGGATTCTGCGGAACTTGCGGATATTTTGATTGTCACCCTCAAGGCATCATCCTGGTCTTTTTTCCACGGGTTTTTTTGGTTCCTTTAAAATGTTTCTATTTTTTGTTGAGGTACGCACCAAATGCTTTTGCTCAAAAAAACCTGTTTTAAAGTGTTCGTGTTCGTTAAAAAAAGGTTGAAATTATGCATTTTAAGCTTTCGTGATATAAATGTGGTAAAAAATAGTGGTCTTCGAGTGAGGGGAAAGATGTTCTCACATTTGCCGTATTTTCCCACGCAGTTGATGAGGATAGTTCCTCGACCCGCTCAGGCACCGTTAGCTCCGGCTGCCACGGCTGGAGCGAAACAGCTGTTACCACAGCCGCCTCAAGCACAACCTCCGCCACTGGCGCAGCCAAGGGAGAAGATTCATTTGACCTCAACCCAATTGACCTCTATCCAGACCCTCTTTCAGGGCGCCAATCGCCTCACTCGTCCCGACAAGGCTATTATCCTCTCCTTCTTCAGTGGCAAGCGTGGTGAGCTGATTGATTCATTGGGTGGTGTTTTTGTTTCATGGCGCCACTACCCTTCATCACAGTTTTGATCCGGTAGACGGCAGCTCAGTAGGTACCGTTTGGGAACTCCGACGTCTGTTTGAATTGGCAATAACAATGGTATAGGAACAGTTTAACTGAAGCTTTGAAGTGATAGATTTTACCAACTGATATCGCATATCTACTGCCTAATAACCTGTCGCATCTTTTTTCCCACTAATGCCATCTCCAGTAAATCCACACCCAGAAGGCGGAACCGCATTGCGTATTCGCCTGTCGGAGTACCGAGAGCGAGTGATCGATGCGACTTCGGGGAAGGTGATGGACGTGGCCGCAGAAACCTTCATCCACTTGGACTACGCCACGGGCAAGTTTGAGTGCGTCAAGTCTTATCGCACTCTCCCCCCGGAGCAGCTGATGGCTCTGCCTGTACAGCCAAAAACTGCCACGACGGCTGCCGCTACCACTACCAGTGCTCCTTAGTCCCTCCTTCCCTTGTCTCCCATTCTGCTCCATGTACATACTCCGTGGACCGCGTTGACGCGCCTCCTATCTTCTCACTATGTTTATCCTCTTTTCATACTTTAAGAATGCCGTACTTTTACGTTTGCTCAAGGTGTCTTCTGTTTTGTATGTTTGGCGGTTGCAGTTTGCTGCCATGTGTGTGTGTGTGTGTGTGGTTATGTCAATCCTCCACGGTTCACTCATTTACAGAACCTCATTTCTTGTGGTGCATTCGATTTGTGTTTCCACTTTCGATTTTGGAGACTGTTGAGAAGCGAATGCTGAATCCCTTTTCCGGTATTTAGAATGGGGAGTTTGATCGCAGGTCCAGTTAGTTATGATTGGTGTGTTAGATCTTGTCGAGAAGGCTGAGGTGCAACAAGCGTGAGTAGATGAGGAGTCTCAGAGTTCATTCACACCCAGGTGATATGCAACGGGTCCAGTTTCCCATGAAATATGTTCTGATGAAGTTGAGGTCGTGTTGATCATGTTTAGAGGGGCTTGCGTTTGCGTATTTATGCTTCAGTTTGGGAGTATTATTGGGATGCTTAGTATTTGTGGCTTAGAATCCTTTAATGCCGTTGATTTATGCTCTGTTTGATACTCATTCCGAAAATTCATCGCGTCGACCTTTTTGAATGTCTCAGGAAGCTTAGTCTCTGTGGCGTTGTGTTTGTTAAAGTTTTTTCTCACTTGTGCGTGAGTGCTTAACCTGAATTCAACCCTTTATTCAGCCTATCATGTCATCACGGACGGGCATTGGCGGTGCCGGTAGCGGCAATGAGCGAAACAGCAACGCGGCGGGTCCGATGACCCGCAGCGACTACGAGGAGGCCTATCGACGTAGGGACAAGCGTACGCTGCAGCAGTTGTTGGCCGAGGAAGAGGCGCTCATCGACAATGAGGCAGCGGACTTTGAGACAGCCGAGAAGGAGGCCATTGCCGCCGCCTTCTCAGCTTGGGTGCCTATCACTCCTCAGTACATTGACGCTCACTTCCAACTGTGGTCTCTCTCCCGTCGTCCTGGCGACATCTACGAAGGCGTTCAGTTGCCCGGTGACGCACCTTGGCGTCTACCTTCTGCCAAGGGGCTCCTGACTCGTGATTTTAATCCAGACAACTATGAAGAAGATCTGTTTGAGATGAAACATCGAGCCAATGCGGAGTTGAAGGAGGGCATTGGGGAACTCTCCCCTGTACAGTATGCAATTCATGTTCAGGTGGGTGATGGAAACCCTATCTTCTACAATGCCATCGCTGCTTTACCATCGAAGCAACCAATGAGTCTTGTTACTACTGCTTACCTCTCCTGCGTCATGCTATCTGGGCTATCCTGGTCATCCGTGGCATCACGTTCCTTTCCTAACATTAAAACCGAGTCATGGTTTTATGAGAGGCCATCGTGACAAACATCACTTTGTTCTGCACTGCTTCACTTTACAAAAACGCGCCGTTAGGAAATGCTTATTTGGTGTTTCACTTGTGATGAGAGTTGGCTTTCGTATTGCAGTGGTCATTGAGCGAATGAATATATCATTGACCTTCTTTACTCAGCCCACCAACTACTCCACGTTTCCAATGCACGCATTGCTTCATCCCCAGAAGTCTGCCCTTGCCTTTGTGTTTACTTAATTATATTCTAATTGTTTATTACTATGCAGAATTTTAAGTGGGAAAACAGTTCGACATTTTGATGGTGTCATTCTGTGAGCTGTCTGTTTATCTGAACCCTCGACTGATAAGTATTGTGCTCCTCTGCCATCATTAACATGAAGAGTGAGCTTCTTAATCCCCATTCGATTGTATTCTAGTCCACTCCAACGTATCAAGAAAACATGGCAATGTCGTCAATAGCAGAAGAGTACTACTACCTCGCGGGTCACATCGGTTGGGTGGATCTGCACGACAGTGGACTGGCCTCCCGTCTGCGCACTCTTATGCTGGATCCCTTTTTGGTGGGACTGCGTCACGATCTCACCAACACTGATGCCAGCCTCCTCCTCGATCCCTACGTCGACTGCGCTTTTGCAGCCATAGAACAAAACAATATGCCCTTTGATCTTATGATCGGTCCACACCAGCTTAAACACGCCTGCCATCTGGCCTACAAACACCCGCGTTTAAAACTCGTCCTTAATCACTGTGGCCTTCCCTTGGAGTACACTTCGACACGTCCGGATGAAGAAATAATTCTCTCGGCGTGGAAAAGTGATCTGGAATATCTCAGTCGTTACCCAAACGTCTACTGTAAGTTGACAGCGACTTCGGGAAAGATTGTGTGGCAGGCGGATGCGAAGGTGGAGACGGAGGAATGGAGCCCGATGAGAGTGCTGACTCAGGCGATCGGATTTTTCGGTCCAGAACGGTGCCTCTTCGGCTCCGGGTGGCCAATCTGCCGGGTGTTGGCTCCAGCGCAAACAGGTTGGGATGAAAGTGGCACTGGCGGTGCGTTGGCGGCGAAAGGCGGTGTTGGCGGACCGGTGCCTGGCTACCGCGGGGCGAAGGTGGCAAGGCGACAGCTGTCAGTGTGGGAGGCAGCCCGTCTAGTGGAGCACTGTATGGAGGAGGCGGGATTCGGTGCTATTGAGGATAAGCGAAAGGTGTTTGGGAGCAACGCACAGGCTGTTTATACTCTTAACATTCGGCCCTATGGCTCGAGTCGGGTGCTGTGATTTTGGCTAATGTCCTGTTTTCTGTATCAGTCTTATAAAAAGATGTATTTTAGAACGTGTATTTTTGACGTGGGTTTAAAAGTTTTGGATATGGGTATGTAGGTTTTGTGTATGTTTGCATTTATTTTCCTATGTGGGCTTAGGGATACCATAAAGTTGGTGATGCTTTGTTGACTGAAAACGATTCGGAGGTCAACATGAGCACTTTTGGAGTCCTTGGTATACACACTTGAAAACATTGGGCGTGACTGGAATTTCATTTACGCGAATAATGCAGCTCAGTGGAATCGGGATCATAAATTCGTAATGGAAGTCGGCCATTGTTTTCTGCGCTTCTCTTCACAAAGCTGATGCCGTTAAACCTTGTTTCTAGAATGTTAACGGTCCATCAGTCGCTCTGTTATAATTTATGCCGCACAAGGCCTGCAGAGCAGGCCCAGCGCTGCATTGGTGGCAGCGGTTAGAGGCCTACTTCAAGAAACACGATCTCTTACTTTGTTGCTTGAGTGGCGCACCAAGACGTCGCAAGGCGGGAGCGTCTCTGGGCACCTAAACCAATTGGAAACTGCAACAACGGAACTCCTGAAGCCACATTCAGTTCTGGATATTTACAATCGTGCAATTCAAATCGTGGTCATAATTGATTTAAAAGCGTTTCCTTCGATGATGAGTTTATGATACTTTTTGTAAGTCCTTGGATCCTAATATAATCCAGCTAGATGGCTGGCACACATTGAAACGTGGAGAATTCGGCGAGGACGTGTTTTCGCTAAAGATCAGCTATGCGAAACTATTTCGTGCGTTTTAATAGATGACACTGAGTTAAGACAGGGATCCCCGTGAAGAAGCTATTGGATATCCAAAATGAGACTCAGAGAGAGGGCCATAGACGTGAGTCTGTTTGAAGTTACGAACCATTTCACCATTGTTAAGACCGAAGGCCTTCTCGTAATTTGTAAAAGTAATGCGACTTTGTTAAACTGTGATAGCTGACACTAAAAGCAGCGATGGAGATCGGGGTGAATGCAATTATCATTAGAAGGTGGCGTAATTTTCCAGCTACGTGCACTACTTAGCTGTCGCCTCTTCGGTTGGCACGTCGGGGTCGTAGTGTTCGGTAGTAGATGTTCGACCCACTAAGCATTGTACTAATGCACTCTATAGATTTAAATATCAATACCACTAAAACTGGTAACATCTGATTCAGTCATAGTTCTTGATATATTGATATGAAACTAGGGATTGGGATGCATGGCCTAATAAAGACTGAGTTGTGATTCACAGCATATCGCAATTAAAATCCAAAAACTAAAGGTTTTATAATATTAACTTTACTTAAAAAGCACTTAGTGTGCTACACTAAGGGGCTGATTTTAATATCCACAATTTGTTTGAATCACCTCACTTTACATATTTTCGTGACGGCTCAGGAGTAATTTGTCGTGGAATCCTACTTTGCTACGACTTTAATGTAAAGGATTTGTTAGGTAAGGATTAAATTTACGAATCGGGGTTCTGCATATCTTTAAACACCAGCCACCATTTGTGGTTTTCTATCATTAATTTGTGATGGAGGGATTCCTTTGATAACAAATTCATAGGTATTATTTAAGCCACACTTTAGCTATGTATTAAAACGTTAGCGAATTTCTAATACTTATAACAAGTGTCGGCTGATTCTAGATGAAAATGTTCCTTCTTTGACCAGTAAAGATGACTTCATTGGCTGTTTGCAAAAGTAGTAAATCTTTCCACTACTTTGTAGTCATTCTCCCCTTCTACAAGTGTAGACCTTGATTCCGTCTTGCAAGACGCATTTGACATTGTGATTTAAAGTGTCCCATGGATTTTATGCGTAATGGCATATGTTGGACGCATTACAATAAAAAACATCTTTCTCAAGATTTATTTTAAATGAAATAATAAACGCATAGGATTCAAAAATATTTTGCCGGCTATTTATGCTTTCCGTGAGGTTAAATCCAGCAATCTGTTTTGATGAGACTTCCAATTTATTACGGACCCGCGTTAATCAATCTAATAAGTCCTCAAATTTTGCATAGTTTACTCAGCGGTATTGCTAATTTGAGTTTCCCGTAGGCGGTTAGCTCTGCGCAACAACGTGCTTTTTATACGGTCATTAATTGTGACATCCTGAGACTCATTTAAAGTAATAGTAACTTCTTGCGGTGTGATTGACAAAAATTGCATCACCCCTGCCATAGTTATAGTGCAACAGGAGATCTTTATGATTGGCATTAATGTGCCATTATTTGAATTTGCAAACAGCAACTTAAATCCGTGCCTGAATTGAGGTACCTTGCTTTTGTTTAGGGTTTTCTTCATATTAACAGAAACTAGCGACAAAATATTGTGGATGTAATACACTATAAAATAAGATATCCACTCCAGAGGTGCTTAATTTTTAACAACCAGGTAAAGGTACATTCAATGTTTTCTCTTGTTACAATGCTAATTATGCAAGGCCGTAACAAATCATCCCACGTATTTTGATTTATAAGTCCTCTTGTCCAGATGAAATTGCTTCCATAGAACAATTTCCTCATCGACTTTACAACACAGATACTTTCATTTTGCTTATAGTGTAAAATGTCCTATTTTACTTCCCATCCTTTCACTTCCTGTAAGCCTATAACTGCGATTTAAAACCAAGTTATTTGTTTTGTTATTTCCTGCATAAAATAATCTTCAATTTTACGCCTAACATTCTTTTTAATCTCCAATTTAAAGAATACTTTTTTCCACAATGTAATGTATCTATGCCTCACACGTGAAAACCACGTAAAAAGAAAGGTAATTAAAACCAGGGTAGTCTGCGACCAGGATTCGTTTTGTACTCCGTCGTATTGAGCGGGTAGAAAATGCCATATCTATCCAGCAGCCTTTGTATTAGGTACAATTTATGAATGTCGACCATGATACCCCTACCTCGTCACCACATCTCTGTCAACTTTTTAGAAGTCACTGAAATAATGTGTACAAAAACCATCCTCCTACGATTGATTATCATAATGCTAATCATGCTTCACCTAAAAACATCCCTCCTGACCTGTAAGTCCTTCATGATTATTTCAAGCACAGCTAGTAAGTGAATAAAGGCACAAAACATCAGAAAACTTTAACAACAATTTTAAGAGATCCGCATCTAAAAGAAATAAAACTAAGACACCGTACAGATGAGCTCTAATGTGTAAAATGATATTAAGCTATACTTATTCACATTGAATGCGGCCGGACTGTCAACGTAGTCGAAAGATTCATTGCTACACGATCGTTTGATAAATGTTAAAATAGACTACACTAAATACGTTAATATTCAACTCCCCACATCTTATTGAATTATGTGGAAGTGGCTAGGTTTATCATACATTGCACATTTAATTTCTGATTTGCGCATGAGGTAGTATTCTTTGTGTAGGATTTTTAAATCACGACTAAATGTGCTCCTTCTGAGTGAAACGACAAATGATACCCCGATCAAGTAAAGAATTGTCCACTTGTTTGTAAATAAAGTTTAAAGAAAACTTAGAAAGGCTTTTTTTGAAAAGCACTGCATTTAACCTAGCGGAGAGGAAAATATTCTGTGCTGTTCATGCTAGCCCGGTGGACGAAGCACCGACAGGCGAATTCGATGTAGCTCAGTGTGACGAATTCGTGTACGTAGATGAACCACCGATTCTCAGTAAGCTTTTTCTTTTAAATTTTATTTACTTGAAGTAGGAAAAGATAGCCATTTTACGAGAATGAAATTTTGTGCATGGTGTTCATTAGATCTACAATTTGCCAACAGTACAATTTCAACTTAACTTTCATATTCAAATTGGTTCTATAGACAACGGAAGTTCTTGGGAAATATACCGAGAAATGCTCCTTATAGCATACCATGGTTATCTCCAATGGAATTACTATCTGATTCTAACAAATTATAAAGCACTAATTGATATTGCCAATTTGCGGGATAGGCTAAAGAATGTGCCAATATCAGTCCCGGTTTATGCAATTCTGGAAGATTTGGTATGTCTTCATTTCTCTCCACCTGACCCTCAAATGCCTAAGGCCAAATTTTGCAAAAACATTGAAAGTGTTAACGGTGGCTATTATTTTGAAAAAAAGCTTTGATTTTGACACAACTAATAGACCTAATTCTACATACGTTTTCCTTCTTTGTGGTGAAGGAAAGTGAATTAATGCACCACGTTACTATTAGGCGGGCGCATTTGGAGTACCCCCATATCCATCCACGATCGCATTGAATTACAGAGCTGTTCAGGCGATGTTATTTGGAATATTATACAATCTGCCCGAGTGTACAGCGAACGCCTCATTTTGTGAGTTCCGAGGAATACATGTGACAAATCCTGTTGCTTTTACCTGTTAAAAGGGAATTCTTATTTTACAAAATAATTGGACTTGTCTGATTGTCATCCACTAGTAAAAGTGGATTAGCTGCTAGTTTTAAATAATGAATGTAACTTTTAAATTTTAGTTGAATGTGCAGCAAGATTGCAACTGAAAGAACTCACTTGAAGAACACGAAGTAAGCACTAACAATTATTACTGCAGCATTTACACCGAAATGCACAGAAGTTGAAGGCTTTTGGAAATGCTTGATTTTATTAAGTATCCCTCTCACCAACTGTTTTGTTTTGCATTAAATGCTTTACCTGAGTACTCTGCTTTTCCTCGCATTGCAAAAATTCATCTTTTCGCTGTCCACTAAAATTGTGTAAATTATTATTTATTAACAATTGGGCCTATTTTTCGAGGTAAGCACTCTTTTCGTACTATATAAAGCGTACTTTCTGTTTTAGAAAGCCACCAGAATAAAAGCTAACAGAATGTGTGGGGCTCGTGCCGCTTGCTAACCTGAAGTCCAGCTACTGCTACAGATATATTTGAATTGTCCTTAGTTGAATGATCCTGGTTATAAATTTATCTACCTTTTGCATCTCCTCACTCAGCGATTGCAGCATGAGTTGTTTTTGAAAATCCAGTAAACTGTGACTCCCGATCTTTGTAGAAATTTGCATAAAGGGGTTATGTGGGTCGGCAGTGAACTTTTCATCTAGCGCTTTGCATGCAATGATTCTCATCAAAACACGTAGGGGGTTAAACCTATCAACAGTTTATCTACTTTTTTGGAACAATGGAGTTTTTACTAGGTAAAATGTACTTATTTTAGCATCCAGACACATTGTGCAAAAAAGTAACCTCGGCGCACACCAGTAATGTTTTAATTTGCAGAAACGGGAGTAATTAAAACATCCTTAATAATTTGGTTCTCTACTTTCCCCTATATTCACCTCATTTTTAAAAAAAACCGATATTAGAAGTATTCCTCTCAGTAAGAGTATTCGACTATTTCTTAAATTATTATATGGTAATCTTTTTTCTGGGTGTGCAAGCTAACCTGTGCCCATTGTTTGGCGTCCAACTTGTTGCGTGCGGTTGTTCCTTTCCTGCTCCTCCCCTTCGCCTAAATTCAGCACACGTCATACAGCAATTGCTACTAATTTGGCAGTTTATCCATTCTTTAACGGATTTCTCAGGAATGCTGCTTTAAGCGCGAATTTATTTATAGGAACTTGGTTATATTTTTCATAATAAACATAGCATAATTTGCAATTTTTTTTATAAATTGGACTAAGTTCTTTGGAATAATATACTTTCTTACCGCAAATTTACTCGCAACTTACACCAAGTTTCCACCCCAGGTGACTCCTGATGGCTTTCAGTAAACAATTGAATATATTGGTTCCTATAAAAGTACCGACAAATAGAATAAAGAGGCAGTAATCAGAGCAGGGCAGTTGGTATTTTAAAGTAAAAAAGCCTTGTTCAAGAGCTGCCGCCTACACTGTCCTGAATCTCCCCTAGAGTCGCAAGAAGTTGCAATAATGGGGCCAGAATGTGTGTTGTCGACGTACAGAGGGGCCATTGGAAAGGCCTGCAGGGCATGCCACCCAATGGAAGTACGATTGCTGGGGCCTTTAGTCCCCGCATAACTAAGTCTTCCACGCTCCGCTTCGTAAACCTCTTACGTCGGGTACCACAAGAAGAGAAAACCACCACGAACTGATCATTGGTCTCGCTTGTAATGAGGGGATATTTGACTGCAACGTCAGTGATCCTTCCTGACAGAACCACTGAATCTGGAGCTTCATTTTGTTTGGGAAGTGCATTGAAAAAGGAAGAATACGCTGTTCTTATGCCGCTAGAATTTGGACGATGCTTTAGAACGAGGCTGTCTCGTCTCTTTATCGCTAGTCGTAGGAACACTTGCCTAAAAGCAGTCACTTGCTACAAGAAAAGAGTTTAAATAGTTTATTGGGGGGGGGGGGGGTGGGGCTATCGCGTCTGTAGATTCATGGAACTTAGTTCTCACTCCAGTGGTGGTCGGCTTTGTATCCACCTGGGCTCTATCTAGCTGTAGGAGATGTGGAGGAAGTATCGCGTGTTCACTACATTGACATCTTCACCCATGCACTGCGGACAGCTTCGTAATGAACTTTTCTAGATGGTTCAGAGCCACGGCTAGTCTCGTTCGCTTTATTTATTAATGGCATTGATCCAGAACACAGAACTCGGGTGTTTGTCTGAGGTGGACGGCATTTTCAACTCTTCAGCTAGGCGGCGTCACAGATTCTCCCATCCGCAACGGATGGCTCTTATTTGTCACGTTGGGATTTAGCATTCAAAAACCGAAATTAGGGTAGTCATTCTTTCTGATTAGATTTGCTTTCTGCTGACACCAGTGGTACGCCCTTAGACTTTCCTGTAGTCCAAGGAAGTCGTAATTCTAGGCCAGAAAACGCATTAGTAGCGTACAGAAGGGCTGAGATGCGACTGACATGCCTCATAGAGCACACTACTGAAAAAAAGGACAATGGCAGAGCCTCACCTGCTGAAGAATGATGTGGTATTTTGTTGTTTTGCTTTGAAGTGTTGAGCTGAGGAAACGGAGCTAGTCAAATGTTTCATTCGAATTGCCTACTATGGTTGGGATCTAGTGGCGCTTATAATCTCCCTTTTTTCTGCGTTGGCATTTTTAGCAAAATCTACTGCCTAGAGGTTTAATGGTGCTGGAACAGTTTTCACATACGTGTTCTGTCCTGCGTTGTAGAGAAGTTAAAATTGCATTTATATTGTTCAAGCGAAAAACCGGATCCATGAAAAAAATTGAAAACATTTAATCAATCTGCGTAAAGGCTAAGAATTTACAGACTACTCTAGCTAAAAACACTTAGTTAAATGACACAAAAGTTATTAAACTTTTAAATATTCTGCTTTGAAAGTCGTATTAAGAAGCAAAACAATGATTCCAGTAGGAATGAATTACAGAAAAAATCACAGCGTATTTCGTATTTTCGCAATTAACTTTGCTGTTTATTTTTACCACCGTAATCGTCCAACATTTGTATTGCGGGTTAGCAGATGCTGCGTGTAAGTGTTCGGCATATTCGCGATTTTCCAATGGTTTAAAACGGGGTTTGATAGGTTGATAAACCTGCGCTTCTTGAGTACAGTTGTCTAAGTTACCATTACGCTATTTTTGTATGGTTGTCTCGGCTCGTTAACAACAAAGAAGGTGATTTTTAGCCTGCTTTTATGTTGCCTTTCCCGTGATCCAGCCGTTTACATGGTATCTGTCTACATCTGTAGTATATTTTGTCCGTAAAACTAGATTGTGAGATTACATCCTCTCTCTGAGACACGTTCTGTCAACTGTTGGAACCTGATAAGTGTTACCAAATACATTGCTCACTCATCGTAGGTACTGCCAAAATGTGGCTCTCAAACCTTCTTTTTCGCTGTCGTCGATCACCAAACGCCATGTTTTTTACTGGTGTGCTTATTGGAATGATGGTATTTTGGATCCTTGATGCTCGTCGGGCCTCAGAATACTTGTTAGTGAGGAATATGGATGTCTACAAAGATACCATAGCGTACCAAAATTTGCGAAACGACAGCGGCCAACGGCACGGTAAATAAAGTGCTTTTAATGTAAAACGGAAACTGTTTTGGTACTTTGAAACCCACCATTGTCGTATATGCTTAGTTCTCATGCTAATCCGCTTATTGATGATTTACATTGCCTTTTGCTCGTCTGAAGTGGTTGCGTATTCAGGAAATAAATATGACAGCCCCTTTTTTTAGTACCATTCCTCCCGGAACCCCTATTAATAGCCATTATTTAGCATTATTAAGCTTTTGGAATAATTAAAACTTGGGCTTATTACTTTTGCACTTTTTATAAAGTAGAACGCACAGTTGCAGACGAATTAAAAGAGAAGATTCGCGTGTTTGCTACCATTCTGACAACACCGAGAACCAAGCTGTCCAAGGCGATTCACGTGAAAGAAACTTGGGCAAAGCGTCTCAATGGTTACGTGTTCGTTAGTTCCGAGGAGGACGAAGAATTGCCATCCATCCGTGAGGTTTCCTGCCGGTTTGAAACAATTTTACTTACTATCCTATATTTGTAGTTGATTGCTTTAAAATTCATTAGAATATTGGGGGTTCTGTTTCTGATCCGTCAAATACTTAGTTTTTTTTTTCGTGCATTGGGCGTCTCACTATATTCTCTATGCTAGTATCAAACTTTGAAGCGATATTTCTGCGAATTAATTGAATTTTGACTTTCCATCAGTCTTCATGATACCATCCCAAAAACTGCTAATTCATATATCGAAAGTGAATTCCTCCGATGTGTGTATTTGATCTGAAATGCGCATACGAGCTACACCGCCATAGTTTACCTATTTTAGGATGGCATTTAGTTGCATAGTTTCTTTCAGTGGATACAATACGAGCCACAGGAAGAGTGTTTGGTAATTGAAATTAGGGGGACATTAAGTGCTTGTTTTATCATCTTGTAGGCGTAGTGGAAATAGAAAGTCGGGGCCTGCTTTGGGAGAAGATACGCCGTGCTCTGGTCCACACCTATGAAAATGTTCTCAATGATTACGATTTCTTCATGAAAGCCGATGACGACACCTACGTGATTGTGGAAAATCTCCGACTACTACTCTCTAAACACGATCCCAACTTACCTATTATTATGGGCAGGCGATTCAATGCAAGCTTACCAGCTCTTTTATACTATTGTTAGCGTCTTGTTGCATTATATGAACATCAATTTGCTGAATATTTATCAATACTTCCCAATATAGGAACGGAACGTGATGTCTTCATTTCACCTTCTGTTGCACGATGGATTAACCACTAGTGGTTCTTCAGTGAGCCAATCTCAGTTCCTGAGACCGTATTGCTTGACTGTGTTTAACATTGTTGGAGAGTGTCGGAAAGTGGGGGAAGTATTAGTTATCAGCACGCTTTTTTATCGTTCTTATTGGCGGCCAACTCAGGCATTGAAGGTCTTTCTGTGGACATTCAGAGAGGCTGTCATAAAGCTGAAGGCGCATCTTCATAGTATTGCCCCAAACTTCTTATTCTATTCTTTTTTTCTTTGAGGCATTTTAAATCACAGAACAATTAATATCACTCCTTCACCGTTTGGCTAGAAGAAGATTTTCAAACCTTTGCATCTCAGGTGTACAGCCTTTCTATAGCTTTCCAGAACATGATATCGTGTTCATGACGCTCTGGCAAATTGAAGTGACTACCCGATTTCCTTTTCCATCTTCTGCTGTACTTTACAGTCTTATCGTCATACACTTGCTGAAAGTCATACAAAATAAGCGGTACAACTGGGCAATGATGTTCCTTTGGAGACATCAGCTCCGTGAATCAAATGCCAAGTTCATATTAGAAGGCCCTATATTGCAAGTCCCTAATCATCTGTGAAGATTCATTAAGACATATCTTTGTGAAGCATAAGTGGCACGAGAAGGACGCTGTGACACCTGACATTGCAGTCGTATTTCAGATAGTAATGAGTCTGTGTAACTAGTACACCACTTTATGGATATACAATCCGCTACTTTTGGAGCAACTAGCACTTTCGGCTTAATACTATTTAAACTAAATATTCAGCTGGCTTTCGATAGTTATAGATTTGCGTTTTCCACTTGTAGAAATTCGTCAAACAGGGATATGCGTCTGGCGGCGCAGGGTATGTATTATCTCGCGCTGCCCTAAAGTTGATTGCTGAGGCAATGCTTAAGGAAGCACCTGGCTGTCATAAGCGTGGCGGGTCTGAGGATGTCAATTTGGGTGAGTCAATTCTTCCACCGGCTTATCACTATTATTATGTCACGGCCTTAAACTTGTTTGAAAAGAATGAGTGTCAAATGTATTGACACCTCAACGTCAAACTTCGCCAGGCACTCAACTTACAGTAAAATCTTATTTGATTTAAACAGCGCCTGAAACATCCCGGTTTTGCCTAACTTTTGACGCTCGTCTTGTGTGTTTTTGTAACACTAGAGACTGTTTTATCCTCCTGTATAGGTTGTGCCAAACAGAAAGACAATGAACTTTAACTGTTGTTGATTAGCTATCGCCCCTATTATCTTTTAATAGTTAAACGTGACTTTGAGAATTAACAAACGGAAGCTTAGACAGATAAAGTTCTCTTATTTTAACTCCCTATTTTGAAAGGTGCCTGTGCGGAAGCCGTGGGCGTGCAAATGGTGGACAGTTTGGATGCACTCAATCGAGAGACCTTCCATCCCTTCCGTCCTAGCACCATATTCGACCGAACGTACATAGACAGGGTTTCCTGGATTCATTACTACAACTACTTTCCTGTTAAAACGGTTAGTGGGTTATTCACCACCTATTAGGAGTTAGCTCTCGTGATCATCGCCCCAGTAGTCGATGCCGCCACAGTAGCCATAATAAGTGTCAATCATGCAGGATGCGGTGCGTGTTTTGTTTCAAGTTACACTTAGTTAAAGAGAGGTTAATGTATAGGTGAGGAAGGGAGGGTCTCGGTGATTTAAATGCCTTTTGCTCACTAAGGCTGGAGCCATCAACAAGTCGCAGAATTGGTTCCTTTCTGTAGTTACGGTAGTCGCCGCATGTAACAGAGCTGTAAATATACCTATAGTATATCCCATATGCAGGAGATATAATAATAACCACTTCTTTGGTGCTGACCTCTCAGTGTGCGCATCCGTGTCCTCACCAATCGTACAGTAGTTTACTAGTGTACTTGGGCGCATGCCTTCCTTATGACGCCCTTAAAAATGTCTTTAAGGTGTGGCGTGAGTCTCAATGCATCTGTCACTCTCGAAGTCCTCGAGGGCAACTGCACATTAGCGTAATAAGTGCGGAACGAATTAAGCCAAATACTGAATACTTTTTGAGGCTATCACCTGATTCTACCAGTAACCACATTGGTTAGTCTTTGCTGATTGTGCTCTTCAGTGGAGCAGTAGACTCATTTTGTGGCGCAATTCCTGTGCAAATGCTGTTATTATCCACATGATAAGTGTTGTAATGAGAGGATGGACTGTAGAGTTCTTCGGTTCCTCCCCAATACCACTTATCCCAACTGTCGTTATTTTGACTGCAATTGATGAGGAATCACAGAAATATTGTTTCCCTGTAACAATTTCATTTAAGTTGGTTCAATTTATTGCGATTATCACAGGGCAGTTCTTTTATTCTATTGTTATTTAGGGCCTCGATTGCTGCAGTGATCACTCCGTGTCTTTTCATTACGTCAGTCCAAGAGACATGTACGTTCTGGAGCTCCTCCTGTACCACATTTACCCGTACGGTATCGGTAAAGGTGTGGAACAGTACGATTCACCAAAGCAAGTAAACCAAACTCAGGAACACCTGTCTTTGGAAAAGCGACTGTGGAATCGTGTTAATTTTTGATATTGATTTTTTATCTTTTAATATATTTGCTCTTTACCTCATATTTGCTAGCAATGTGGAGAGAGACTGACTTCTTCTGGGCGGGAGCATCTACCGGCATTTGTCTGCCTGGATCGGAGCGTCTTTTGCATGGATGAGTGGGGCTAGGGTGACGTTCGTATGCGTTGGTGGGCACGAAGTTTGTCGAAATGGGTATTTGTCGCTTAGGGGTTCCATGTTCTTTATTGGCTAAGTAGTTTAGGATTGGTGAATGGGGAATCTGGTGAGGTGCCTATTCCCTTCGAAATCGTACTTTGAGTAGTAGGGGAATTATTAATTTCTGGCCAGATATGCGCAATGGAGCGTCTTCCGATTTTGTTCGGAGCATGCGAGTTAGCAACCTGAGATTTTATTTGATGACGCGAGGCCATCAGTTCCTAAAGTTTTCTATTCCGCTCTCTGGCGAGCCATTCGGGTCGTGATCGCCGTCTCTCCTGTCTGCCCGCATGCCTAGCATACTTCTCGATACCCTCGTGTAGTTAGACATATTGGTAATACATACCTTACCACAATAATTTGGTTTATAACAACTTCGGCGAAGAACGGGACACTAAAATATAATCGTAATAGATTACTTCATGGATACAAAGCAGGGTAACGTGCTACTGTGGGATAGATTACTCAACCTAGAAGACGCAATAATTAGCCATAAAATGCATAAAAATCGGACATTTTATCTATTTGTAAATGACTTTGATATATCGACCTTGCAGTCCTATTCGCTGGCTTGAGGAGGAAAACCTGTATTCCTATTGGTCACCTCTATATTCCTTCTTAGGCCTGCGGGTGTCGTGTATTATCTGTCATATGTGCCTGGAATCAAACGTTCTTTCCTGGTTGCAGTTCGTTTTTTGCCAGTAATGATTCGTGGTATGCACTTATGAGGGAGACTTTGCTATTCTGCTTCATATTTAATCTAAACGGGCTTGTCAATAATGACCTTTTTTGCACATCTTGCGGTACTTATTTTTCTGTACCATTATATTCGAGAGAATTTATGCTTACGAAGAATTATTGGGTCACCACATTTGTTTATTAATGGCATGTACTAAGTATTTTTATTTTCAGTTAGATAAACTTATAAAAGCATCACATTGATTCATCCACGTTTGCTGCAGGAGTCGTAATGCGCCGCCCACCGAAGTTGAAGTCATATTGTCGGGCAAACTTCTGTGTTTTTCTCCTGGGAGTGTTCATAGGCATGTTTGTCTTTCGGCTCCTTGATATGCGGGGTCTTTTTGGACGAAGAGCAGCTGTGCATTTGGAAGAAATAGAACCTCGCTATTTTCATGCCCACAACATTAGTGGTCACCATGCGGGTAATCTTCTATCCCATTCTTTTGATGACTGATATCATGCTTTCAATATGTTTAAAATCAGTAGTTTGCACATGTTAACTTTTTATTTTACACGTATTAATGTTTACTTATATCGTTGCACCTGAACGAGGTTTATGGTTGCACTATTGATCATAAGGAAGTGCTTAAAGCGATGAACTGCTGTGTTTTTTGCAGATGAGCACACTCTAGCCGATTCGATGGCAAAGAAGGTTCGCGTTTTTGCCATCATCCTGACGATGCCTAAGTCCAAAGGCACCAGGGCCGTTCACGTGAAGGCCACATGGGCACGGCGATTTAATGGCTACGTGTTTATCAGCTCTGAGGAGGACACTAATTTGCCATCGATCCGTGAGATATGCTTCTTTGCGCTTGTAAAATGTGTCATCTTGAATCTGAGTCGAAAATTCATCTCTAAATTTTCAGAGTTTAGCTATTCATTTTCCACATCCGGAAGCATACAGCCTTTGCATAAAAAGACAATATAGTGAGGGCTGGGGAAGCGAGTGAATCGCTACATATTTTGTTAATTAGTATTCTAACTGATGTCAGATGCCGTGCTGTTAGTCCAACATCAGCGACAAGCATTTGAAGTGTTGAATCTCTTAGATAGCAATATTCAGGCGAATATTTCCAAAGGTTGATGAAGCCTTGGAATACACGTTTCTGGTCCAAGTTATTCTCAATTTTCCATTCTGCTTGAATCATATTCAATACAGTGATATGTGGATAAAGGCGGTCAGTTCGATATGGTGCAGGATATTTCATATCAACGTTCAGACTAAAGTGGTCGGAGTCCCTGGGTTGAAATGGTTTGAGAATGGGTGTCAGGAATTTATATGGTTTGCAGGTCACACGTTTAATATGCACATTAGGCTGAATAGAAACCACCGCAGAGCTATATGCTCATCAACGTCAGATTCGGTTATCGAAAGTAGGGATAAAGGCCGCACTATGGTGATTTTCAGATGTCAGGGAAGCCTCTTCAGAACATGCCTTTCCTATTGTGTGTTGCGTAGGTCATGATGCGATTGCGGGTTTGTAGTAAGAATGAGAGGTCGTAGAAGTTAAGTGTTTACTACGCCGTTTTGTAGGCGCAGTGCACGACGAGAGTCGAGGCGCACTGTGGGAGAAGACACGTCAAGGTCTGCTTCACGCCTACAAATATCATTTTAACGATTATGACTTCTTTATGAAGGCTGATGATGATACCTATGTGATTGTGGAAAATCTACGATTCATTCTCTCCAGACAGGATCCAAATAAGCCCATTCTAATGGGTAGACGGTTCAAGGTAGGCTTGCTCGATTCCTCTTTTGTCTTCCTGTCTGTTATCTTCCTTTGCTTCAACTACTTCCGCTTACGTACCTATTAGGTACCATTTTAAAAGGAATTCTTTTAATTAGAATGTTTAGTACTTTGAAATCATAGCCTTTAGCTTTAACTCGACTTTGTCGTCTGGACTTTCTACCTGCTTTGTTCTTTTTACCGCTATCTTTCTTTGCCCAGTTTGTCTGCATAACTTCTACCCAGAGGTGCTATTTTGCGTACCCATAGTCTCTACCCCCCTGTGTGTAAGAATATATTCACTGACGAACTGCGTCTTATGTAGAATGCCATCTAGCTTCCAGACTGACATGCTTTGACCTACCCTGTATAATTCTGCTTAAACTGTCCCGTTTATCTTGCGTAAATGAGATTATCTCCGTCAAACTTTACAATTTGGATATCCTGGAGCTTCTTTGGTCCCGGATTTACCACTGTACAGAGAGCGGAGGCATTTGTCAGGACTTTAAGTCAGACCTGTGTGTGCTGGGCCGCAAGAATAAATATCCTTTTTTGTGCAATGTTTTCCCTTTGTGAAAGATCTTTTAAACCCACTTTATGGAATTAGTCCCCACCACTACGGTGCTTCATGCAACAACAAGGTTGACTTATGCAACATGGTGAAAATATTGCCTCGAAAACGCGCTAAAGGAAAAGTGGTGGTTTTTGAAACCTGGAGACTGAAAGAAAATCATCGCTTAATTAAAACATTAATTGATGGCATCGGTCAATCCACATGAGTTGTCTAGTTTTGCTTAATGTTGTCATGGGACTTTCTAAATAAATCTCCATTTCAGTATCACCCATTTGAGGCGTATATCTAGCAATATTTTGATATTTATTGCATTTTCTAAGATTCATTATAAAGGTGGAGCGTGTATTTGATTAGGTTCTTTTATTCTGGGTAATCATTCATAAATTTTGAGTTTACTTCGTTGCAGAAATATGTCAAACAGGGCTACACGTCCGGCGGTGCAGGCTACGTGGTTTCACGTGGAGCCCTGAAACTCATCGTCGACGGCATGAATAGTGGCATTAGGGGCTGTGGCAAGGGTGGAGGAGCCGAAGATGTCAATCTTGGCAAGTCTTTTTTTCGAACCAAATTTTAGGCGCTAATTTTATGTTAAACAAAATTTGAATTTTTCAATGAACTTGGGAATTATTTAAGGTTTGTAAAGCACCCCCTCCTTTATACGCTGCCTGAATGATCCATACTTGTTATTCTCATTTTTCTGAGGAGGATGCGTTTATCTCTTGACGCTTTTATCGACTGGCGACTGCCTGATTGGCCAATTCTTGGAGGTGTTATTCATGTCTGTATTGCAGCAACCTAAATTTTATTATTTTTTAAAAAGGAATTAACAGAATACTTAATGTTAAATGGTAACCTTATTATGCGATTGTTTAGCCGATTACTCAAGATAAATGATTTCGAGCCTCACTTCAATAACTACAGAATTGAAGTGTAGGGTTATCCCCTCTTGGGTTCTTTTCAAGACCGTCGCGAACAGTTATTTATTTACCTACCAAATGATTTCTGGAATTTGAATGTGAATTTCCACTTTACCTGTCATGTGTATAACATTCTCATTATCGTAAAGGTGTCGGAAATGTCTAAAGATATCTTATGCTGGTCATTCAGTTTCCTTAAGAAGCCATTTAACATTGACTGATCCTGTTTACTGTAATTATGATTCATCGCGTCTATTTCAAAACTGCCCTTTGGTTAGTAATCACGCCACTTTTTGTGAGGCCTCACACTAGCAAGTCAATCACATTCTCCCATACACGAGTTTCTGCTTTTGCATGGGGGACTAATGAAGATATCTGTTTTAAGAGGTAGTTTTTTTTAAAAAACTGAGCTAAATATCACGTTCAGGCTAATCGAAATCAGGGTGTTTAAGGCCAGTCCTCAGTTATCAACCTCGAGCCATACCCGATCAACCAGTAAAGTTAACTATTCTGATGGCATTGAAAACCTTAACTCCATTTTCCACTGAAGATTCAAATCAATTTACCAGTTTTTGATTAATACCTCAGCATTTATTTGGAGCTTGTTGACATTTGATCGTGAGTAGGATGTCAATTTTTTCCCTTTAATACATTAATGGATAATGCTTTTTCCCTTTGCGGTTACAGGAGCTTGCGCTGAAGCCGTGAACGTGACGCTAGTAGATAGTTTGGATGAACACGAGCAGGAGGTCTTTCATCCCTTCCCACCTGCCTATATGATCGACAAAAGGGCCATGGAGGCAACGTCTTGGGTGCAGTCTTATAATTACTATCCGCTCAAAACGGTGAGTTTTGTAGACATAACACTACCTGATCTTAGCATTTATTTTGCGATTGCATCACCGGTTGGAGGAGGCCTGTAAACAAATTCGGTATTGTTCTGAGATGGGGAATCGCTCTCTAGTGGTGTTGCCGCTTTTACCACGTTGTCTATTGCATTCAGTGTTGAACCCTTTCGTCAAATTCTCTACGGTTTTCAGCCAGTAGTTCTAAACATTCTTTCGCTCGTGATAACTTTAGCCAATTTTTTTTTTCACTTTCTTGCTCTGTTACTAGTAAACTGGATTCCTATCGAGCCGGTGAGTACATCTACGTTCCTTTTTATAAATCATACGTGCTTAAATTGACGTATTTGCGACTATCTATTTGCTGAGCCATAACCTCTCCTCCAGCTGATTTATTGACACACTTGAGGAGCTTTCGATACTTTGCTGTTCAAATGACCGCCTTTTCTTAGTTTTTAAACTGTCGACATTACTACGGCATGGCTTTTCTGGTGCCTGTGTATAAGCAATGCGAGTTTTATCATTACCACTCCAGGTGCTTCTCTTTTTTTCCATTTTGAGGCACTATTACTCCAAATGCCCTGCAACTGCAGCCTCCTGAGGTGTGTGTCACGTGAACGTTGGATTCTTAGGCCCTTTTAAACCCCATGCAGTTATGTGGGCTTCTACTTTTGTAGCTGAGATCTGTCTTAGTATTTGTGACCCACAGTTTCTCCCTTGGCGCTCCTTCCATTGCAAACGCCGTTTGTGGTGCGTTTCTGCCTTCTTCACTTCACATTATAAAGCTGCACCGTTTAAAAAGAATTATTTCCCGACTGACTTGTGATAAGAAACAGCACTTGTACTACGGCGAACTTTCTGCCCACGTGTTTGCATTTCGGGAATGGCATTAAGTGACATGCTATGTTTGTTTGATTTTCCGTGTAACTTGTTGTCGGTACAGTATTGTACGGTGCCTCTCATTGTCTTCTCTGCCATTTACCCTTTGAGGCACCTTGAATCCTTAGTTCATGAAATGTCGGTCGAGCTAAGCTGTCTGCTTCACCAACTCGCATGAGTCTTAGTAGATTCCTGAATTACAGAAGCTACTCCTTGTGAAATGGGTTGCATGGCGCTTGCAGAGGATACGGTGTGTAAGTGATGGCGCAGCCTGCGTGGTAGTAGAATGCAAATCGTAGAACTGATTTACATGACGAAATGCTGGTGATGAGTCGTTTGAGAAATGAATGTCCAGCAATGACATCACACGTCACTGTTAGGTGGTGATGTGGGTTGGGTGTGACAAGGACAACCGTTAGTAATGGATTGGTGGGGATGATGCTCCAAGTCGTTTAGCCTCGCATCAGATGAGTGGGGAGAGTTGTGGAAGCTTCCAACCACGTGGATGTCGCATTCTATACGTAGAGACATTGAATTAACAAGAAGTGGACTTGTAAGAGGGCTGAGTGGATATTCTCGTCTCCTTCACTTTGTGTCATAAAGCCGCGTCCTTGAAAAAGGATTATTTCCATCCAGACTAGCTTGTAATAAGAAATGGCACTTTCACTTCAATGCACGTTCTACGCACGAACAATTAATTGGATGTCCTCAAACCACCCACTACTCATTCTATCCCACAGTTCGCGGGCACACAGAATCCCATTACCTGAGGACTGTGTTCGCTTTGTGTCCATGTGTGTATGTGTGCGCTGAAGGCCAAGCCATCGGGTCTGATATCCAACAACTCGAAACTTCTCGACACAAATCCAGGGTGTGCAAGAAGAGCTACTTCTTCTTGAGTAGCACCAGCCAGGATTGGACGATCTGATGGAAGGAATTGCTATTCCTGCAGCACAGCAGAACGTCTCACAGGGTGGATCTTGTCAATAAGACGATTTGCACATTGGGATAGTAGGAGGTATGAAACTACTGTCCCATATTCCCTTCCCCTATACCCCTAATGACTTTCCTCCAAGTAATGTTTACTACCTTTTCTCGGCACTGGACAGGCGGCACCCACATGCGAAATAGAATGTACACTTGAGGGACGACAGTGCAGTAGGAGAGTAGGTTGCTAGATCTGGGAATTTTGCTCTTGAAGCCACGGTGCTTTGGTAGGCGTGGAATTCGCAAGCTTGTGTCTGGTTGGCAAGGCTTAGTTGTGATAAATCGTGGTTGTAATTATCTCAACGTATGCGATATTTTGTGTGGTTTTATTGCGATAGATTACTTTCGGTGGTAATGAACCACAGAGCGCTTTCTTTCGCCTTGGATGCCATCCGAGAACGAGCTTTGATGCATTAAATATGCGGAAAAGGTCTGTGTCGTAATCTGTAGTTCTTAACCATCCTATCCATTAGAAACACTTGCCACTCATCTGCAATAAGTGTTTGATGATGCTAGAGCAAGACGTGACATTCTCCTTGAATGAGCTGATTTG